TCCGCTACCTTGCTGGATATTAAACACCTGGGTCCATTTTAGTGCTTGGAGTACCCAAAATCAATGACTTGGGGGCAGAGTTAATGCATCTATCATACTGCAAGGGTTACAAAGTAAATTTTTTACTGCTTTTGGGCCCCAATGAATCACATTCCCAACTAATATCCCGAAATGAATAAAACTGTGAATTTCTCTCGGAAAGCTACTTCAAGAGTGCATCAATAGCTAACCCAGGAGGATCACCAGCACTGCTCTTGTGCTCTGAGAAGGTTGCAAGCTTTCCATCAAGGAAGCTTTTTCAATTCAAAATGTCAGGAATAGCGAATAGCGATTATTGAACATAAAGTGCATCTTCTTTGAAGCCTTTTTTATACTGCTATAGACTTACTTATACCTATAACATGAAGTTAAATGCAGATACACCAGTTCATGTAACTCAGGGTTATTACATTTTACTCCCACTGCAGTACCAACAATCGACCACATCATGTCGCTGTTTCCCACATAATTGCATTTCCGACCAGACTCCGCGATATTATTTTTTTAAGTCGCTCACTTTGGCTGCAGCTGAATGTCGGTTAGTAAGGCAAATAGGCGGAGACGTAAAGTTTCCCTTACAGGCCTCTGTGGTCTCCCATTGGTCACGCCCCCTCAGCGCGGCCCTCCGATTGGACGCTGGTTGTTACCGGGTGGTGTGAGGAGAGAGCAGGGAAGCTACGGTTGTGTAACTTCATACGTCAGTCCTGCGGTCCTAAACAGGATGCTGTATTTATATAAGACTCTGCAGCCCATAAAGGAGAAATAACTTCAGTTTGTATGCAACATTTTATCCCTTAAAGCCACCAGAACCAGCAAGCTTTATTACTTCAGTTTACTGGAAGGGTTATAGGTTAAAGTATATTTTTCTATTTCTTAATATACCAGATGACACAGTAAACAAATCTACATAAAAAAGGAAAACAAGTATTAAAAATAGGCACAAATAGACTTAACAGATACAATAAATAAAAAAAACATTAAACTACAAAATAGACCTATCATCAATCCAGAAAAGACAAAGAAAAGAATTAATCTGCATCAGTAATCTGGGTTGGATCCACCATGGATTAGCTGGACTCTACAGCAGCCTGACCTATAGTTTTCTCCAGTTAGTGGTGTAGCCTACCATCCTTCAAGGTGACATTTAGGAAACCGGACGATACATGACATCCTTCAAGCCTTTTTTCAACTTTATACAACTTTTTTCTCGTTAATCATTTGACTGCGGTAATTCTGTTTACATTTAGGATTTCTGATTTTCAGCTTCCCCTGATTGCAACGCTAACTGGGTTTATTTCAGTCTCACTCTGGCTTCTCTGAATGTAAAGAAAGATCACACAAAATCTTTATTTTAAGAATTATTTTCGTTTAACTGAAGAAACGATTACTATTCGCCTCGTTCAGGTTAGTGCATTGTAAAAGGGACTCCAATCCACATCTCATAGAAGGCACAAGCGATTCAACCCACCTCCATCCCCTTCTCCACCATCGTATAAGCCTCATCAGAGTGTCATTCCTCCTGGACTCTTACTGCGTTACCTGTCTCATTTTATGTTGTATATATGTTGTATGTATGTATATATGTCTCATGTTCATGTTGCATATATATAAAACTGTAACTGAAGCATGTAACAAAAGTAATTTCCCTCTGGGATTATTAAAGTATTTCTGATTCTGATTAACCGGTCAGAACCGGGCAGAGAACCTCCATGTTTTTCCTCTCCACTGTCGCTTCATGCTTGCTCATCATGGACAGGTTCTTTCAACCTGTGTTATCCAAGCTGGATTTCCATCTTCCAGGTCCCAGAGTGATTCCCTAATATCAGCTCACGCAGTCCACTGGATTTCTTCATACAGCTCAAGCAGACCGTCTCCACTCCACCAGTTTCAGGCTTGTGGGGGAAAACATCCCTGTTATTTACTCCTGTTTATGCACATCAAGCAAATTCTGCTCTAATTTTCCCTGCCAAGGTCTGAGCATCAAAGACTTCAGTAATTGTAACTATGAAACTCTTCTGTCTTTTTTTATGTGAGTTTTTCAGATTGAAATGTACTTTAAGACAATCTGCTTTTCAGGTTGAACAAATTCAAAGGGTCAGCAGAATATTAGCAATGCTATGGATTCCCATGCTTATTCTACTGGCATGGGCGGTTCTAGACATGGGTCAGCGGGGGCCAGTACTCCTGTAGATCATGTCGTGGCCCCTGTTAAGGCCCCTGTACTGAAGACGTAACACTCAAAGAAATTGTAATGATGATATGCGCTGGGACAGACATGGTTACTGATAGGTCCTTTGGATCTATCTTATTTTGTTTATTTACAAATACATCTTTACTAATTATTTAAAAACAATAAGGTGATAGCTTTAGTGGTATTGAGATAGGATCTCTAAATGTTTTTTTCAAAACAAAATACTCTCATTTTTACAGCTGAATTTATCGGTTTTTTTGAGTTCTAATTCAGATTTGATATAAAATGTTAATTTTTCAACTTAAACTAAGTCAAAAATATGTAAACTCATAAAGTCTGAATGTATATTGACCTAATAAGAATTTTAATTAAACCTAATTGGTACATTTGGTCTAGAACTGCCACTGTCTATTGGATCTATACTTTGATACTCTAATTAAGAACAGGAGTTTCTCACTCCAGCTTCATGCTATTCTATATATCTGTAGCATTTATAAATGGAGTACCACAGGGCGGTGTTTTAGGTCTTTTCATCTTCACACCTGCCTCCATCTTTCATTCTAAGCAGGCCCCTGCTTGAAACCTTCTAAGACTCTGTGGTGGCATCAGCCCTGCTCTACGCTGCTGTCTGCTGGGCCCCTGGCAGCGCAGAGTGGGACAGAAAGAGACTGAATTAGCCGGTGAGGAAGGCCACTTCTGTCCAAGGCTGCACTCTGGACTCAGTAGAGGAAGATGCTGTCCAAGCTTACATCCATTTGGCACCTTCTTCTTCTTCTTTGACTATTTGAGCTGATGTAACGAGTAAATTCAATAAATAAAGTCAATCCTTTTTGATAAAGCTTCTAGTTAGAGTGGCTCAGGTTATCCTGA